TTAGGTTGTTTCCATTTCTTGACTATTGTGAATAGTGCTGCAATCAGCACGAGAGTACAGACCTGGGGATATAGCTCAGTGTGCTTGCCTGGCATGCACAGGGCCCTGGGTTAAATCCCCAGCACCACAAACAAACAAAAACCCACAAGAGTGCAGAAGATATCTCTTCCATATACTGGGTTTGGGAATGGTGTCATAGTTTGGATGTGAAGTGTCCCCAAAACACTCTTGTTAATGCACGAGTATGCAGAGGGAAAGGAATTGGATTGTGAGAAGCTGCAACCTAATCAGTGCATCCTAGTCTGAATGGACTGATGGGGTGGCAACTGTAGCCAGGTGAGGTGTGGCTGGAGGATTTCCAGTGCCCCCACTCCCACTTTAGCTTCCTAACTCCACCAAGAGCTAAGTGGCTTTCTGAAACTCAACCCTTCCTCACTGATGTCCTGCCTCACTTTGAGCCCAAAACAATGGAGTTGGCCATCTACAGGCTAAGACTTCTGAAACTATGATTCCCAAATAAACTTTTCCTCCTTTAAGTTGTGCTTGTTTTGATCACAAAAGTTAACTCAAAACACAAAAGTTAACTATATGATGATTGCTCTATAGTAGATTCATTTTACATTTTTTAGAAACCTCCATATTGTTTTCCGTAATAGCTGAACTAATTCACATTCCCAACACCATGGAAGGCTTCCATTTTCTCTACCTCCTCCCCAGCACTTGTTATCTTTTAGATAACAGCCATTCTTACTGGAGTGAGGTGATATCTCAGGGTTTGATTTGCATGTTTCCTGTGATTAGTGATGTTGAACCGTTTTTCATACCTGTTGGCCATCTGTATGTTTCCATTAAAGAAAGGTCTATTTAGATGTACTGCCCATTTTTCAATTGGGTTATGTTTCTTTGCTATCAAGTTTTCTGAGTTGCTCACATCTTCTGGATAGCAATCCTTTGTATAGTTTGAAAATACTTCTCTTTTCTATAGGTTGTCTCTTCATTCTGTCACTGAGATTACAGATGAGCACCATGGTATCTGGCTCTATATGAATCTTAGGACTGTGTTTCTAGTTTTGTCAATAATGTCATTGGTATTTTGATAGGGATTACATTGAATCTGCAGATCATTTTCAGTAGCAGGGACATTTTAACAATATTGATTTCTTCCTTAATATTTTTAAATCTTTATGTCTTTAGTTTAAAAAATACCTTCCAAAGCATCTATCATGTTATTGAATTATCTGAAACCCTAGGAGTCTAAAGTCTTTTGTTTTAGAAAATAGGTTGACTTTCACTCACAAAGAATTACTGTGTCATTATTTCATAATTTATTGGGGACTATATTTATGGGAAGCCCAGGCAGCCTGGATGGGGAGTGGATTTCTGCAGTGGTCTATGCTTGCTTTTGCCAGGTACCTACTGGGATTATGACTCAAGTTCTAATTTATTTTTTTTTCCTTAATATTTATTTTATAGTTGTAGTTGGACACAACACCTTTATTTCACTCACTTATTTTTTATGTGGTCCCAAGGATTGAACCCAGGGTCCCGTGCGTGCGAGACGAGTGCTCTACCATTGAGCCACAACCCCAGCCCCTCAAGTTCTAATTTCTATGCAATTTTTTGCTTATGGTTTCCTAGTTTTAAAAATTCAAACCCCAATCATGATTGTTGTGCTGTATCCCTGATTAAAATTCTTCAGCAGAAATATTTTTCTCCTCCTGAAGCTCAGCTTCTTTGTGCCTAGACCTGGGTTTTCTTAGTCCGTTTCTCCGCTGGCAGCGTGGCCTTTGGAGGGCTCCATTGTCAGCAGAAGATCTATCTGCAACTCAAGCCTCAGGACTCTATTAGCCCTTGTTTGCTTCAGGCTCCTGAACTTCCCTCACATTTTTGTGAGATTTGCCCTGTGTATAAAAGGATTCTTGTGCCAGGTGCGGTGGGACATGCTTGCAATCTCAGCTGCTCAGGAGGCTGAGGCAGGAGGATGGTGAGTTCAAAGCCAGCCTTAGCAACAGTGAGACACCAAACTACTCAGTGAGACCCTGTCTCTAAATAAAATACAAAATAGGCCTGGGGATGTGGCTCAGTGGTTGAGTGCCCCTGAGTTCAATCCCCAGTACCTCCCCTGCAAAAAAAAAAAAAAAGATACTTGTTACGTCTTCCTAGTTTTTCTAGGTATTTGGGGTGGAGAGGATAGAATTTCAAGTTCATCCATATGCTGTGTAACCAGAACTAAAAGGTCTCTGCCCAGAACTGTAAATATGTAAAAACATCAGCAAGCTTGTAAACCCAGCTACCTGGGAGACTGAGGCAAGAGAAGAACTTGAGCCCACAAATTTGAGGCAAGTGTAGGCAACATACTGAGACACTGCTTCAAACAAACAAACAAACAAACAAGCAAAAATCAGCAAGCAATGAAAACTGAGATCAGAGATGAGGCCTTTCTTCAAAGTACCCTGAATATTGATAATGCAGCAAAATTCTGATTTTAGCAAAAAGCTGACCTACATAAATCTATGAACTTTGATGACAAAAAAGAATAACAGAATCCATAACACAAGTTTGGAGGGGTTAAATGTTTATTAAACCAAGCTTTAAATCATACATCCACCTACCGTCTGTAAACAAATACAGTCCACGTGTAAGTAAATGGGCAGCAGATCAGAACCAGTGGAAAAACTCAAGTTCCCTTTGCACAATTGGCACCTCCCCAGAACACCCCCCGCAGGCCGACCCCACAGGGCTGTGCTGCAGGTAAGGGCGAGAGGAAAGAACCAGAGAGTGAGCTCCACTCCATCCCGAGGGTGGGGGTCAAGACAGGCATCTGTTCCACACCAGGTGGGGTGGACCACAGCAAGGCCACAGGGTAGTTTTTACATTCACAGATTGGCTGAAATAGTACAAATGAACTTTCCTAATCTCGGTGTCTCCCTCCCTATCACCATCATTGGTAAGAAGTGTGAGTTAAAATAAAGGACGGACCACAGGTGGTTACAAAAATAGATGACTCGTAGAGTAATAAATATCTATAAGTAGCAGAGCATAAACTTATATAAAATTTACCTTTTCCCATAATGTGCAGATTATCATAAGTATGTTCGAGAGGTATGGTCAGCAGAATTCAGAGCGGTAAGAAGGGATTTTTTTTTTTTTTTTTTTGGTACCAGGGAGTATATCCAGAGGCACTTAACCACTGAGCCACATCCCCAGCCCTTTTTATACATTTTATTTAGAGATAGGGTCTTGCTAAGTTGCTTAGGGCCTTGCTAAGTGCTGAGGCTGGCTTTGAACTCATGATCCTCCTGCCTCAGCCTCCCAAGCCGCAGGGATGATAGGCATGTGCCATAATGCCCAGCTCCAGTAAGAGGGGATTTGGAAAGAAAAAACATTCAGGTTCAAAACCCAGAGGAGGCTGAATGCAGATGGGAAAACACAAAATCCCAAATCTTCCCAGCACATGATCCTACTTAGTAGACACCACAATTAGCTTACAGCCCTTTTTATATCTTAAAAAGTAACTCTTTGTTACCTATGTACAAACTTTAAAAAAGATTTATCAGGAGACCCCAAAATTGATTTAACAGCGGCATTAAAACTGCTGAAACCTGTAGCACTGTGTGCGCTTCCATGTACTTCTGTGTATGAGGCTGAAAAAGGCCCCAGAAATGTTTTAGATAGCTTTTAGAATTCCCACGGAAATCAATTCTACAATCATTTCAGTTATAGAAGAACAAAAGAAAGAAGGGAAAAATAACCCCTCAAACTAGGGTTGGGGTTGGGTGGGGTGGGGCAAAAAAAAAAAAATCTCACAAAGTAACTAAAAATTCATGAATATATAAATGACATTCATAGGTTCTTTTAATACTTATGGAATGCTATATAAGGTAACTGTGGAATGGTATTCCGAAACCAATCTCATTTTGAGGGGTACAGTCATTCCATTCTAATTCTAAAATTAAAAGCACTTATCCCACATAATGTGCGTTTCAGCGAGGCTGACAAGTAGACTTGGTTGTACTCGACAGTGTCACCTTAAAGCTCCATAAAAGATTCATGGCTGACCTGAACTGCAAAAGTTCAGAACTCACAATTCCACAGGTAGCTATTCATGCTCATTGCTTGCAGAGAGCAAAGGATCCACTCGAGCTGTCCTAAAGTCACCTCAGCCTACAACAGTGTTCCCTGGAAACTTTGGCTAGTTTCCTTTGCTAAAACATCTCCCTAAGCCCACCGTGTTTGGGACTCGCCGGGGTAAGCAAAGAGCTTCCCCTGACACTAACATACATTCTACACCTTCAAGAGGGATGGACGTGTGCAGCTTCCCCCAGGTCTCCTGTACTCCTGGAACAACCCCTGGAGTCCAGGATGCTTGCTTCCTGTGGAACACAATGTGTGACAGGCCAGGATGAAGTAGATTTTTGAAAGTAGTGGTTCTCAAATTAGAGTGAGCATCAGAAACACACGGAAGGTGTACTGAAGCAGGGACAGCACTCGGGGGTCCAGGGCAGGGCCTGGGAAACTGGATTCCAAAGAGTGAAGCAGATCCTACCCGACCGTGGACCACACCTGGTGTGGCAATCATCAAGACCCTGACCCCCACACATCTCAGTGTCAGGATGTCCTCCTGTGACCTCAGGAAAGGTTGCATGGGACACTTGCCACAACCAAGTAGCCGGAGGCCAGAAAAGCCTAGTAGTATCTTAAAAGGTCCCACATGTTGGCAGGTAGAGAGTGCGCACTCCATTCCTGGCTCTGTTCCCACACACCCAGATGACCAGGTATAGCAACTGCATCTTTCAAGAGGAATAATAGCAGCACCCTCTCAGAGGATCTGGGGGACTTGAGGGGAAGTATATAAGTGGATTATCTAATTGAAAGTTATCTAATTGTAAAAAAAAAAAAAAAAAAAAAAAACAACACCAACCCACAATCAAAGTAAGTTAATTATGCTGGTTTGAGATAGTGTTTAAATGTTAAATACGGTGATCTTTGAACACATTCCCTTCCTCATCCTACCAACCATTTTAATGTTGGTTAAATTTATCATCAAAAGAAGGAGAAAAAAAATAATTCATCCACTCAAATACATATGAAGTACACCTAAAAAATTTAGCTGAGATAGTCCCAATCTTATAGAGTACCACAGTGGGGAAATTTCAAATGTGATCTTTAAAAAGGATATATAATATTGATTAGTAGAAACACCCACACAATGAGAAGTGAACACACATGCCCACATGTGTGTTTAGTTGTTGCCCTGTACAGTTGAGCCAACGAACTGCCTCTCGTAATTAAAAAACGAACCTGTAACAATTCATACATGTCCGTGTTGGGAGCACGATTGGGCAAATCTCTTGTTGCCAAGTGTTGGTTTCCACATGAACCCAAAAGACTGATAGGAGAGGCAGGACTTTCCCCAGCCCGTTATGTGATTCCCGTTAGATGTGCTCTGGATGGCTCTGGAGACAGGACAGCATCTCTGAGACAGGTCGGCCTTCGTAGCAGATCTGATACACGGCAGTAAACAATGGAAACCTGAGCAAGAGGAAATGTGGAAAGGCAAGCTTAGGCCATCTGGTTTACCTCCTAGAACAAATTTGTTTTTCTGTCCTGCTTACTAGCCTGCAGATCGATATGCCATTCTGGAAAACACAGTCCTCACTTTCCACATTGCTTTATTCTTTGATCTCAAGAATGCAGAGCCCTAGCACTGCAGCTACAAGATCTCAGGACCATGAGACTTTTCTCTGCCTAACAAGCTGGGTTGTACTGTTGATACGCAATTCACGTGGTTATCCTCCTGGGGTAAATGGTGGTCATTTACAGAAAAGAGTTGTAGCTCAGGATCTTGGCCCACATCTGGAGTGAGTCCAAGTTCCTGTCACTGTTTTAAAAGATTGGAGAATAAACTTTAAATTGCAGGGAGATATTGTTCTCCCTTCTCCCCAAAGGATCATCTCAAGATGACAATGAGGCTGCCCACACATCACCATAAATAAATCAGGCCTGGAACACTCCTGCAAGAATCCAAGTGAGGACCCACAATTAGCAAAGCCCTGATCTCATGCTGGAAGCTTGATTTATTTTGCTGTTTCCTCCAAGATGTGAACACATATAAGTGAAAGTGTGAAATGGATGAGGGCATAAAGGAGCAACCTAATAATCCTGTGGAAAAACTGGTTCTATTTACTTAAGAAAAGGTAACATCATCTCAGGGTGTGCATGCGCATGCGCGCGCACACACACTCTCAGCCTCAAGTGAGCTTAACAGAATCAATAGAGTTTTAAAGGCCATTCTGAAAATTACCTGGCTAGAATCCTATAATGACAATATTTAATTTAAGAAGAGCAAACAGTACTGAGGTATCACATGTCCTTATGAGAGTCATTACTGTAGGTTTTGGAAGGTATGGAAGCCTATGCTATTTTTTGGAGTCAGGTAAACTTTGTCAAATCTGACTCTATAGCCTATGGACTCTGGGCAAGTTTCACAAACCCTGAATCAGTTTACTCATCTGTAAAATGGACCTGGAGACATAGGCCTATTGTAAGAATCAGGTGAGTTACCTGATGAATAAAGTGTTGTAGTTGGTATCATAATTACAGGGAAGCACAGTAACTCAGCAAGATGAAGGGCTGTATGGCCAGTGGGGCCAGGCAGTGGTCCTGGGGAGGCTGGACAGCTTATGTGCTACAGGACTTCCTCCCTCAGTCAGGTGGCCAATCAGCTGACCCTAGCCCAACCTTAACACAGGTCTGGCTGGAAGGGGAGGGGAGGAGGGAAGCAGGCAACCAGTCACAAGACAAGGACACTGCAAGGCTGTGCATGCACTTTCACATGGGTCCTTTCTAGTGGCACAATGCTGGGACAACTTGTCCTTCCCTCTTTTCTGAATTCTTTGATATTTTATTCATATGACTATATCTATCTTTGTCTATCTATATCCCATGATTATATTGATCTGTATCTATATATATAGTTTTTTTTTTTTTTTGTACTGGGGATTGAACCCAGTACAAATGGCTTAACCACTGAGCAATCTCCAGCCCTTTTTTACATTTTAGTTAGAGACAGGGTCTTACTGAGTTGCTTAGGGCCTCCCTAAGTTGCTGAGGCTGGCTTTGAACTCACAATCCTCCGGCCTCAGGAGGATTGTGAGTTCAATTCCTGAGCTGCTGGGATTACAGGCATGGCACCACTACAACCAACTATCTTTTTATTTTTTAAAACAAGTAATCATTGTTGAAAAATTTAAAACTTACGGCAGGCAGTTCTTTCTGATCACCCTGCAGGACAAACCAGAATCTAAACCTTCCTACTCTGTCCTGCGCCTTATAGAATTGAGGTCTCGTGGAAGTTGAGTTGGTTTTGTGCAAACACTTATTTTGGGGGCAGGTAGGTGTTTCCTGCCCCCACACAAAGGACTAACTAATCCAGTACAGTCCTGGGTTCACTTGTCAAATGGACTCATCTGCCAGGGGCTGGCTGTCATGAGAGCTAGTGTCACAGACCATGGGAGACTTACTTATCCATGAGTCCCTTCTGTTTGAGGATGCGGTATACTTCAGCAGAAGTCTGAGGTCCTTGGAGCTTCTGCCCATTCAGCATCTCCTTCTCCAATTCTTCAATGGTCTTAAAAGCAAAGGATTAAAAAAAAAAAAAAAAACTATGGCAAAGACTAGAGAGCAATTGATTTCAAGAGGAGAGTGGGGAGGAGAGTTATCATCCCCTGCTGTAAGCCCAGAGAGACTCTCTTGGCCACAGGTGTCAAGTGACAGCGGCCAGGGCACACAGAATGCAGCAGGTGCTGTCACTGCTTTCTGTAGGGTGGTTCGGGGGACCAGTGGGAGTGGGAGGGCAGGGAGGGGCTACCTTCCCGGTTCTGGCGAATGCCTCTGCCACCCTGCGGTTCCGCCCTCCGTAGCAGGTGGTTATCAGGTCAGCCACCCCACAGCTCTCCAGGAAGGTGGCTGTGGACACCTGGCCCTTGCAGAAGATCCTGGCGAAAGCGATCATTTCCATGAGGCCGAGGCGGATGACGGCGGCTTTGGTGTTGTCTCCACAGCGGAGGCCATCGCAGAACCCAGCTCCCACGGCCACAATGTTCTGCAAAGGACACAACAAAGCCAGGCTGCTGTTAGAGCATCCCTGCAGATGAGGCTGCAGAGGGGGACAGTGGAGACCCTGGATCCACCTCAAAATGCTCAGCCCTGCTTCTCCTGCACAAAGGGTGAGGGGAGGGTGAAGGAGGAACAGCAGCTTTTATGTCTCCCTTACAGGACAAGGAGCCCACAGGTGGGGACGTAGCAGCAGTGCAGTAGTATCCATCAGGCAGAAATCAGAATGGCTGAGAGCAGTCTGTGCTTAAAGTCTGTTTGACAAACTACTTGGCCTTTTGAGTTCCTTTTATTAAAACTGAATGCTTTGCCCAATTATCACACACAGAAAAGTGTACAAATCCTATGTGTATAATTTGATGAATTTTCACAAACGGAACACACCATGTAGCCAGACCCTGATCCAGAATCAGTGCAACCTGAGCCATAGAGAGAGCCCTCTGCCAGCTCTCCTCCAAAGGTGACCACTCTCACCTCTCACAGCATTGACTCCTGTTACCTGTCTTTAACTATTCTATGAGCTGGGTATAGTAGTGAACACCTGTAACCCCAGTGGCTGGGGAGGCTGAGGCAGGAGGAGCCCAAGTTCAGAGCCAGCCTTAGCAACTTAGCAAGGCCCTAAGCAACTTATCCAGACTCGGTCTCAAAATGTTTTAAAAAGTGCTGGGATGTGGCTCAGTGGCTCAGTGGTAAGCACCCCTGGTACCAATAAAAAAATAAATGAGTTTAAAACTATTCTATGAATGGAATCATATAGAATCCAGTCTTGTACATCTGGATTCATTGTCTCAATTCCATACCACAGTTGTGAAATTCATTCATATTTTTACACATAGCAAACTTATTTAAATTGTTGCATTGCATTCCATTGTTTGAGAGTACTGTAATTTATTCTTTCTTCTGTCAGTGGGCACTGGAGTAAGTTGCAGCTTGGGGCCATTACAAGTGTTGCCACTAGGGACACACACTGTGGTATGCATCCCTTGGTGGCTACACACAGGCAATTCTCTTGGTATGGCATGGAAATTGACCAGGTCCACACAAGTGCAACTGGAGTTTCGGTGTTTTGTTTCATTTAATAATCTCTAAACAAAGGCTCATGTAACATTCACTCTCTGCATGCCTGACAGACACAAGGCAAATCAGACACGAGCCCTCCTCTTCCAAAGTTGATAATCTGGTTTGGGGGTTGGCAACCTAAGAGCCAACTGCTAGTTTTTTTTTGTTGTTGTTTTGTTTTGTTTTTTTGTTTTAAGTTTTTCAATTTTTTTTTTTTTTTTTTAGTTGTAGATGGACATAATACCTTTATTTTATTTTTATGTGGTGCTGAGGATCCAACCCGGTGCCTCACATATGCAAGGCAAGCACTCTGCCATTGAGTGTTTGCAAACACTGATCCCCAGGGAACACAGTCACACCCCCTCATCCACACACTGCCTGTGGTTGTTTGTGTTGCCAGAGCACATGCGAAGTCACGACAGAGCCCCAGAGTCCAAGGTCCACAACGCTTAGACATCTTCTATCTGGCCCTTATGGAAAATGTTTGCCAACCCTTGACAACACAGGAAAAATACCGCATGTGCAAAGTATCGCTCCCTGGCTCCCGGCCCCGTCCACTTTCCTACTTCCTTTTTCCTTGCCAGGAACAGACAAGCATTTTTGACTCTATCTAACTGCACTCGTGTTTCTCAGTAATTCCTCATGATTATTTAGGTATTTGTGCCTTAGAAGATCTTAAAACATAAGGCAAGCTGGGCGTTCAGTGGTGCTGTCTGCAATCGTTGCTACTCAGGAGGCTAAAGCAAGAGAACTGTAAGTTTGATGTCAGCCGCAGCAATTTATCGAGAAACCCTATCTCAAAATGAAGAGGGTTGGGGATATAGCTCAGTGGTAGGGCAGTTACCCAGCATGCAGGCACCCAGTACTGCAGACAAAACAAATCAACCGAAAACAAAAACTACGAAGTAAGTTGCTAACTAAAGGGAAATAAATAAAAATGTGTGCTTTTTTTTTTTTCCTTCAAAGAACCTATATTTTATTAACAAAAGAATACTTTTTTTTTTTTTTTTTTTAATTTGGGGATTGAACCCAGGAGGTGCTTTACCCGTGAACTACATCCCTGGCCCTTTTTATTTTGGGATAGGGTCTTGCTAAGTTCCTTGGGACCTTGATAAGTTGCTGAGGCTGGCCTCGAACTTGCAATGCTTTTGCCTCAGCCTCTGAAATTACTGGGATTACAGGTGTGTGCCACTGGACCTGGTAAAAATAACATTTTCTTAAAACACGTGACCCATTGATTCTGAGTGATGAGGTGAAAAATGGGGAGAACTGAAGCACTAGTAGCCTTACCCCGGGGCTGCAGGCAGTGGGAGAACACTGGAGCAATGAGGTGACACCAGGACAGGCAGGGGCACTCACAGCAGAAGCTCCAAGGCCAGTGTGGATAGGCAGGCCCAATGGCTTTATTAAAGTTATCAAGGCAATGGGCTGAGGCTTAGGATAGGGGTAGTTAGCCTAGTGGTTAGACCACAGAAACTATTCTTAGATGCTTCCTGCACCACATCCCAATCACTGGAACCCATTCTGTCACGGATACCTGACAAACCCACCCTAGGAAACATTGATGGGCTGAATGGAAGGTAGGAGAGACTTCATCTAACCCAGGGCTCCTGCAGACAGGAGGGCAGGGGAATTATTTATGGAGTACCTACAGCGAGTTGCACCAGGCTCTTTGCCTGCAGTCTCATCTTAATTTCCCTGATGACTCTGAAGTGTGTACCTATCCTCCCATTTCCTGTCTGGCACAACCCAGGCTCAGAGAGGCTCCCCAGCTTGCCAAGAATACCTCCCTGGCGAGAGAAGGAGTCAGAGCACGCTCCAGGGACCTGGTTCACAGGCCCACTCTGTCCCTTGTGCCTCACTGCTTCCACAGCGTGGGACACTCCCTCCTCCCAGGGTCAAAGAGACCTTCCTCCCCCTCTGCACTTCCGTGTCTAGGGGGAGTTGCCCCCGCACCCTGCTCAGGACAGCTCAGGAGAAAAGACTTACCAGGAAAAACAGAAAGAATGGCAACTGCTAACCTTACTGACTTTTTAGAGCTTCCCATATTATTAACCCCTCTAAATCTAACAGTCCTGCAAGACAGGTCCTATTATCATGCTCAGTGAGAGCTGAAACAACTGAGGCCCATGGCAAACAGCTATCAGGAGGAGACACAGGAGACACCCTGCCCAGGGGGCAGTGAGTAAAGGGAACAGAGAGGCCACCTAGGAGTTCAGGTAAGAACTTTCTAACAGGAAGAGCTGGCCCACTCAACCGAAAAGACTTGGCAGGAGTCTCCGTCACTGGGAGAGCTCTTTCCAAGCAGCACTGTATGGGCAGAGGGTGAGCCCAACCAGCCCAACTGCACTAGGAGAACAAGCAGATGAGGGGACCTGGGAGCCTGCAGCCCCTCTGTGACCCCTTCACCACAGGGCACATGGGTCTGGACCATCTAGAAGATTCCACTAGATAACTAACCTTCCCATCAAGGGAAGCAGGGGACCTGGGCTCCCACCCACTTTAATTGCTTTACGAGGCCTCTTGAAATCTTTGCCCTCTCCCTCCACCACTTATCACAAGAAAAATAAACACACTGAACCAGTGAGATCCTGTGTTTGAATAGCATGCGAGCAGATGTCCTCCAAGATCGCTCAGCTGTGAAAGTTATCATTACCCACTGTGCATTTAAATCTGCTTTAAACTATCTGCAGCTAAAAATACCAGGACTTTCAGAAGACAGACGTGCTTAAGCCCGTCTCCGTTTCCTGGGTTATGGTAGAACTCGGGCAATCATTCACCTTGAAGTACAGTTTTTGCAATTCTGAATTGGGGTAGGTTGGACAGGCCCTGGGCCTCTTCCATGGCCATCGTCCCACAAAAAGAATGGAAAACCAGAGAGCTGGTCAGATGCCTGCAGCTTTGCAGACACTCTCCCACCTAGGAAGAATCACCCCACAGAAAGCCGGATCAGTATCCACTATTTTCTGTAAGTCCAACAATCCATCTGATTCTTCCTAAGGCTAGCTCCTGAAGCACCTGACCTCAGAGGACCCCGCGGGCAGAGTGTGGGCTTACTAAACGCAAGCTGTTTGCAGGTTGGGCCCTGTATAAGTCAGCCAGGCCAAGGTGTCAAGGAAGGCCAAGGTCAGCCCCATGCTTAGCCAGGGCCAAGGCAAGCACCCTGAGATGAAGCTGCCTTAGCTAGAGCAGCAGTGTCCAAGAGAAGTTTCAGCAATGACATCACGTTTTATATCTGCTCTACCCAATACAGTCACCACTAGCCACATGGGGCCACTGAGCCTTTGCCATGTGGCTACTGTGACACAAACTGAATTTTTAAGTTTGAAAACTTTTAAGTGGAGGAATGAGGACGGTGAGCCGCTGTTGGAGTCCTGAGTGCAGTGCACCCCCACAAGAAGGAAGGCCAGAGATACAGTCGCAACTCACAGAGGACTTGTGCCCAGGCTAAGGTGGCTGGAGAAGTTCCAGGGCACCTCATCAGCTGCAGCTCCTGGGCTGAGTAGAGATCACCTCCCAGAGAAGGAACGCTGTGGGACTGGCTATCAACATCAGGCCTTCCATGCTCGGTGGGGCACGGACTGATGTGGATGAGACCTATGTTTGGGAGACATGGGCCATGGCATCGCCTCAGAACAGGTCCTGTGTTGCTCGTATGCACACTCTGCTGTGAACAGCTCTGTAATGCGGACAGGAAGTTCAAATCCCTGCCAAGCACCTGCACCTGGAGCTCCATCAAGCTGTCTTGCCACTGTACCCTGAGAATTCAGAGGAGTTGTAGCTGATGACAACCCAGGTCACGCAGAATGACTTCACCTGTAACGTGGTGCTGGACCACCCCACAGCGCCAAAGCAGAAGTTCTACCGCTGCCTGTTTTTGGCCTTCACCCTTTCTGCCCGAGGAGCTGAATGGAGATGGAGGCCAGAGGAGGATGGAGGTGAGGCCAGGAGTCCAGGGTCACTAATGAGAAGGTCCCGGACAGGACTGCCAGGCAGGGGGTGGTGAAAAGGAGTCCAGAGTAGGTGCTAGACAGGGAATTCTACGGCAAGGAAGGCACACCTGACAGCATGTCAGCCACCAGCAAAAGCCCTGCTGCAAGGCAGTACCCGGGCCAGAGGGACAGCTGACCACACAGCTGTGACCCCTGTCATCCAGCTCAGGAACTCGCCTCTGGGTAGTTTTCTATACTGAATGCTTACTTCCTCAGCTGACAAAATAATATTTTAGAAAAGTTCTAAAACTTTTTTTTTTTTTTTTTGCAGTGCTAGGGATCAAACCCAGGGCCTTGCTAGGTAAACACTCCACCACTATTTACCACTAGGCAAGTGCATCTTAATCATTTGTTAAAATTTTATTTTGCAACAGGGTCTTGCTAAGTTCCCCAGGTTGGTCTCCAGCCTCAGTTTCCTCAGTTAGCTGGGAATATAGGTATGTATCCATATGCCTTGCCAAAAGCACTTTCTTCACCAAAAAAATAAAAAATAAATAAATAAATAAAGCTATGACAACATCTTCATTTGTTCTAAAAGCAACAAATAAATTGCTTTCTATGGAAAAATTATTACTTAATTTGAATATAAACCTAAATCTCCACATACGGCTAGCAGCCACCCCGCTGAACTGTGCAGACTTTGCTCATTCACACAAAGGCCTGGCTGGGTCTAGACGGGCCCTGACTGGAGACCAGGCACAAGGCCGAGCACGGTGCGTCACGGCCAGTGCCCTGGAGCAACCTCCATGCACCACAGTCAGAACCACAGAAGAGCCACACGGAGGAACCCACGAATCCGTGGCACAGTTGGCTGGCTTATCCCAATCTATTCTCTTCTTCCAGAGTAACAGAGTCACCCTTTTAGAACATGAGGACAAAGACCATATGCCAGGGAGGCTGAAAGAGCCTGGGTCCCTTAGGATTCTATGGAGAGAGCTGGTCATGTGAATTCTAGATGTTTATATTAAGAAAGAAAGAAAACCTTCTACCTTGCTCAGCCACTATTATTTTGCGTCTCTTTTATAAGTTTCATCTGCGTCCTGATAAAGCGGCTACACACTTATGAGTTTTGTACTTCTCTGTATTAGTACTTCTTAAAATTTACAGCCCACGAAAAGAAGACAGACATAGAAGAATAAATACTGTATGACTCCACTTATAAAAATTCTAGAAAATGTAAAACTATAGTGTATAAAAGCAGATTAATGGTGCCTGGCGGGAAGTGTGGCAGTGGGGACTACACATGGTATTGTCTGGGGTGAATGGAAATGCTCTGTTGTGTACAAATCTACCATAAAAATAGTCAGGAGAGGCCAGGGTTTTGGACTGATCTCCTGCACTAGGTCCCCAAAGACCAGAGCAAACCAAAATAGAGTCACTCATGCTAAGTGCCACTTCATCAAACTGAAACAAAAAAGTTTCCCCCCTGAAAACAGGAGATTTCTTGGCTTTAACTTTTTTTTTGGGGGGGGGGGGAGGGTTAACCAGGGATTGAACCCAGAGGCATTTAACCATTGAACATGCACATCCCCAGCCCTTTTTAAAATTTTTTTTTTTTTTAATTTTGAGACAGGATCTCGCTAAGTTGCTTAGAGCCTCACTAAGTTGCTGAGGCTCGCTTTGAACCTGTGATCCTCCGGCCTCAGCCTCCCAAGCCATTGGGATTACAGGCATGTGCCATCATACCTGGCCTCTGCTTTGACTCTTAAAAACAAGAAACCTGAAGTGACCTGATGTTAACCAATCAGGTTTCTCCCTGTTGATCTGTTTATTTGTTTTGACCTATAAAACCCACTGGCCTGCGCCTGGAAGCTCATGGTATTTTGTAGAATGGAGGCTGCCCATATTCATGAATCACAAAAGAAAGCCAGTTAGACTTATAACTAAATTTGTTGTCATTTTGTCTTTTGATAATATTCACTGTCAAAACAGATGCCATTTATATAAAGTTAACTTTTTTTTTTTTTTAAAGAATATGTTCAGGGGCTGGGGTTGTGGCTCAGCGGTAGAGCACTCGCCTCTCATGTGTGAGACCCTGGATTCTATCCTCAGCACCACATAAAATAAATAAACAAAATAAAGATATTGTGCCCCTTTGAACTTTCTTTTCATTTTATCCACATAGGGAGTGCTTTTAACGTTTCTATTTTTGTTTTTCAGTAAGTTAAATGACCTCATGGTTTTGTGTGCAAAAATGATTATGTACTGCCGGGTCCATTGGTACACATATGTAATTCCAGCTACTCAGAAGACTGAAGCAGGGGTATTTCAACTTTCTTCTCTCTACCTATCTGTTGTACGAGACAGAATGAATATGACTACTTTCATCATCAGAAAAACCCAAGAGAACTCCTATTTGCACAATAAGAGCAACACATGGTCATTTTGCTTTGGCACGTTCTGATGGAGGAGGGCTTCATTTTATTTACAGTCCTTAGATACGAATCAGAAAAGTCAAGTTGTACATAGTAACCAGAGAACACAGGACTATGGTTCTCAAAACCTATGTTGACTCCAACTGTGCCAATATTTGCCACTCTCCAGTCATTCACTCCTTTGGTCTTGATCTCCTTATCTGTATGATACAATGGTTAGACGCAATAACTGCCAGAGGATCTATTTTTCATTTAAAAAAAGAATACCAACTTTAATGCAGGACCATAGGAATGAGGGTAGCTAATCTCCTTTCAAAGAGTACCCGAGGGGGAACACCAGTAAGTGGCCCTCAAGCTCTGCCTGCCTCCACCCCATCAATTACCTTCTGTCATGGTAACAAGAACAAATCCACTTACAGGCTTCCTGCCAGGAAAAATGAAAAGTCATTCTAAGTTCACACACAAGGCCAGCAAGGGCTCCCATTAGCAGAAGCTTTTCCAGAACCCTCAATCTAGAATCTTTTCATCCAGCACTCTCTGTACTGATTAGGATTTCACAGCTTCTCCATTGACCACCAAAAACATCCAGTCACTCAAAAACAGCTCTGGAACTCTGGCCAGTGCTGAGTAATTAGGCATTCATGATGCCCCCTGCTGCTGTCAAGTGGTCATTAGCTTAATGGGGGACTATTAAAAACACATAAAAATCCCAAGCAACAAAAATAAACAAAGCATCTGAAGCCAGCATCTTAAATGAGTAACAGGGCCTGCACATAATGGGAAGAATACCCACACATTCATTTAGAAATATGGACGCATTTAGAAATGTGTAAGTGTGCTGCCTGGGAGCCCAAGTCTGTAATTGGTTTTAATTTTTTAAATGCTCATTGTATATTGTGACGATGCAGACACACACAATATTCATTCTAGAAAGAAAGAGACGACTTGGAAGCAAGCTGGGCATGGTAGTGCACACCTCTAACCCCAGCAATCAGGGAGGCTGAAGCAGGAGAATGGCAAGTTTGAGGCCAGCCTCAGCCACCTGGGGAGACCCATGTGTCCAAAAAATAAAAAAGAAAGAAAAAAATCCTGGAAGGATTGGTGATGTAGCTCAGTGGTAGAGTGACCCCTGGGTTCAATTACCAGTACTGCAAGAAAAAGAAAAAGTGAACCAAATAGGGTATTCATACTGAGAACTCTTTTTTTTTTACTTTTTCTTTTGGTATAACCTGAAGTGTTAGCTGCCTCCTGGCTGTTTCCCAAGGTCAGGACAGAGAGATATCATGACCTAGGTTTCAAAGGCAGTAGTGGGCTAGTCTGGAGCCCAGGTGTGGACCTTTTTTCCTTTACCTCTTGTTACTTTAAAAATTGTTTTGGACTGAACTCCTGCACTAGGCCCCACAGACCAGGCCAAACTAAAATGGAAATCCTGTTCCACATCAAAAATGGCTGGGGATGTGCTAAATGCCACTTCACCAAACTGAAAATTGAAGGAGAGAGATCCCAAAACAGACCCATTTTCCCCCCACTGAAAACAGGAGGAAGCCATCTCTGTTTTAAAACTTACAAAAAGAAACCTAAAGTAAGTAACCTGTTGTTGCTCAATCTAGCTTTTTTCCTACTGTTCTGTTTCCACCTTACAAAAGCCCACTGTTCCACTGCGGCTCTGTGGGAGCACTTGCTATTTTGTAGAATATTGTTGGCTGCCCCAATGCATGAATCAAACGTAACCCCATGGGTCTATCACTAAATTTGTTGTAATTTTTGTCTCTGACACTCCCTAGTCACTGGCCAATTGAGGTTGTTTCTTTAACCGGGATCTTTTCTCTCTCAAGGGCAATGATAAAACTATTCTCAGAAAAAAACTTCTCCTCAATAGCAGACTATTCCCCCCCCCCCCTTGGAAAAGAACAACCAGCCAAACCACCAAACCAGTAGAGCCCAGAATTCAGGGGGAAGCAAGTTCCATTTCCTGCTTAAGGTAACAGGCAAAACAGAGGAATGAATGGAATCACCTGCTCCTGGGTGAGACCCCAGGAAAGCCAAAGGGGAATGTGACCAACCCCAGACAACAAAGCATCCCAATTCCCCATATACACAAGTAAAAGCAAACCCTGAATAAGTGAGGAACAGGAACAGCAAAACAGGAAGTTATAAACAAGGCTCAATTCACCATTCTTCACCGAAGAATGCAAAAAACACAGAGCCCATTTTTCAGGGTGAGATTCCATAATGCAAACCTGGGCAAATAACTCCTCTCCTTGGGGCAAATGACAAGGCCGACTTTACCTTAAGAGCACCACAAAGTTCAACCGTGTCTGCATCATCAACCACAGTTATTCGGAAATTGGGGGTTTGCAGAAGTTCTTTGAAGAGAAGGCCGTTCTCCATGACTTTGCTGCCTATTGAAAAGTTAGGGAAAAAAGAAATTAGGAACAATCTCTAATCTTCAGCTTCATACCTGATAGTGGTTAAAACCTTGACTGTTATTATAAAAGTAACATGTTGATCACAAAACAATTTAGAAAATGCATAGGAGCAGAAATAGAAAATAGACATTCCGTAATTCCCCAGCATCATTTACAATTTGACATACAACTTTAATTTATTGAATGTCAATAGAGTTTTTCTCAAAATTAGGTATGTAGCCAGGCACAGTGGCGCATGTCTGTAATCCCAGTGGATCAGGAAGCTGAGGCAGGAGGATTGTGAGTTCAAAGCCAGCCTCAGCGAAAAAGTGAGGTACTAAGCAACTCAGTAAAACCTGGTTTCTAAATAAAATACAAAATAGGGCTGGGAATGTGGCTCAGTGGTTGAGTGCCCCTGAGCTCAATCCCCAGTACTGTCCCCCAATCCTCCCCCCAAAAAAAAATTGGGTTTGTAACATTTATGGGTTTTAAAATCTGTTTTCTCTGCTGCGTACGGTGGCGCATGCCAGAGATTTGGGAGACTGAGGCAGGAGGATCGAAATTTGGAGGACAGTCTCAGCAACTTAGAGAAATCTTGTCTCACAACAAAAAGGGCTGGGGATGTAGCTCAGTGGTAAAGCACCCCTGGATTCAATTCTTAGTATCAAATGAGGGTGCGTGCATGTGCGCGCGCGCGCACACACACACACACACACACACACACACACACACACATGCTTCCCCTAAATTTTGGAAGATGGGAATGCAGTCAAAGAGTACTTGTTTTTGTTCCTGCTATACTCTCTTCCTTTGGGATAGTTCCTGGACTGTGCAGAAAGTTCAGTGGTTTTCATATACTTATCTTTATTTACTTGTTTTGGAGACCTATGAGTAAAAAGCAAAACAAAACTAAAATCTTACACCTAAAGCTTCACGTGAAACCTGCTCTGGCTGGTGGGGTGCAGGTGGGACTCACTAAATCCACCCTCCCCTGGTCCTCTGAAATTAGAATCAAAAGACTTGCCAATCAAGTTCCAGTTTCCAAGTCAAAGACTCCACACAGTTGGCAGAAAGCATGCTGAGGACTAGGGCACTTGGGTTCTGCCTGCCTCGAGGCAGAAGCCTAGCAGTTCCCAAGCTTGCTTGCACATTATAGTCACCTCAGGATCTTTAATAACTCCAGCGCCCAGGCCACATCTTAGACCAATTAAATCACAATCTCTTGAGTGGAGCAGGCATCCATAATTTTTGAGGCTCCCTAGATCATTCCAACAGGAAAACAAGTTTGCAACCCTTTGATCTAGCCTCTTCTAGCTACGGCACTCTCAGGATGGTGGAGAAGAATCACATATGAAAACTGCCATGGTTGTAACAACACTCAAAGATCACATAAGATGATTATGGAGTCAGCTGACTTTGCGTGGTTATGATCATTCTCTTCTACATTGACAGACAGGGAAACAAAGGCCCAAGGGGGTTTACCAACTTGCCATGGTCACCCAGCTAGTAGAAGACAGCCTAAATTATAACCCATATGCTGCTCTGGCTCCGGGGCCCAAGCTCCAACTCTATGCTATGCCACATCTGAGGTGTGGGAAGAGAGAAGATGAGCGACAAACAAACATCACAATCAGACCTCTACACCTCCAAGGCAGGAAAAAAAACGCAGGTGTCAAACAATTAAAATTACAGTTAGAAGGGATACAATGTAAAAATCATCCAGGGGAGGTAGATAGAGAGAGGATGGGATGTAGATGAAATAAGACTGGCCAGGAATCAATCATTCTGAAGATGAGTGATGGGTACATTGGGTTCATGGTATTGTTCTTCCTATCTTTTTTTTTTTTTAATGTTCCATAATAAAACATTTAAAACGCCGACATCTAATAGATGGAAATCCATTTTCTATTCTACAGGCATTACTGTTATCGATTATTCAGCCAATTTTGCCTTTTTCATATATTGTCACTGTGCCAGTTTGAGCAAGCTGTCCTCTTCCTCTTTTTGGACAGTCCACCAGGCCTTCTAGATGATTCTGTGCAACACTATTTCATTATGTGGTTGGTAAACCAGCCCTGGCACCATAGCATATTACCTCCGTACCATGCCTCTCCACTACCTCACCATACACCTCTGCTTAATGGGAGGGATGCTCATGAGCACCACAGATGAGCCCTTCTCAAGTCACTTTCATCCAGCTGTCTGCAGCTGGAAGCCTGAGTTGCGGCTGAGAGCAACCTGAGGAATGGGCAGAAAGAAGTGAGCTCTCTGTTTGCCATGCATATGGGCAGGGGCTGTGGGCTCCTCTGTGGTTATGGGTAAAGGTATCTATCAGAGATGGGCTTGACTTACGGCACCCTCACATTTTCTCAAATGTACATTTTAAAATTTATTATTTTAATTATGAATAAGGAAGCACTAACTTTATTATTATTACCAGTCACATGTGGCAAGCAGGGACCCAGGCCACCTATACAGTACAGGCAGTACCCAAGAGCCATGTGAGGGGCTGCCCCAAAATTGAACATAAACCAAAAGACAGGAAAATCCTCGGTCACACCAAGTTGTAGAGATCATCCACTGATTTAATAAAACTCCCTCCAAACCCTCATTTCTGCCTACAATTTCAGGTTTGTTTGCTGGGAAGTTCCTGTTTCCTGGATATATTCCTGGGCCTGATACATAATAGGCTTTGAAAAACCTTTGTGGAATGAGAAGTCTCAAATTTTAAAGGTAAACCCCCAAGAGCAAAGGGAGCTCTTACCACAAGGGGGCACCATCATTCACCATGACAGAACATCTAAGACACTCAAAATTGTGCCATTTGTCTTCTTCCTGACAGAAGACACAGTGGGTCAAGATTTCTGAATCTACCATATTTAAAAATTAGCTGGTCCCAAAGGTCATCAAGAAAGGATATCTGGAGAATCACAGTACAATTATCAGATACGTGGAAGTCACTGTTGATATGATACTATCTAATCCATATTCAAGTCTTACCAACCACTCAGTGCTTTTTCTTTTGGTACCAGGAGTTGAACCTAGAGGCACTTAACCACTGAGCCACATCCCCCTTTTTTTATATTTTATTTTGAGGCAGGGTCTCGCTGAGTAGCTTAGGGCCTCACTTAATTGCTGGGGCTGGCTTTGAATGGATGATCCTCCTGCCTTAATCTCCTGGGCTACTGGGATTATAGGTGTGTGCCACCGCACCCAGTGCTGTCTTTTTATTTTTTTAATTTAAATATTTATTTTTTAGTTGTAGTTGGACACAATACCTTTATTTTATTTATTTTTATGTGGTGCTGAGGATCAAACCCAGGGCGTCACACATACTAGGTGAACGCTCTACCACTGAGCCACAACCCCAGCCCCACCAGGGCTATTTTTTACAGCAACCATCCCTCCCAGCCTAGGGTCCCACTCAGGATCCTGCACTGCAGCTAGTGGTTGTCATGGCTCTCTAGTGTCTTAATCTGGGACACTCCATTAGCTCTTCATTGTCTTTGATGACATTGACATTTTTAAAATTAATTAATTAATTTTAATTAGGTATATATGACAGCAGAATGCATTTTAATTCATTGTACAAAATTGTACTAAACTTTTCATTTCTCTGTTTGTACATGATGTAGCATCACACCATATGTACAGTCATACATGGACCTCGAGTAATGATGTCCATCTAATTCCACCATCTTTCCTGCTACCATGTCCCACCATCCCTCCCCTTTGCCCAACCAAAATTCCTCCATTTTTCCCATCCCCTCCCCCCCATTATAGATTAGCATCCACTGATCAGAAAGAGCATTCAGCCTTTGGTTTTTGGGATTGGATTACTTTGCTTAGCACGATATTCTCCATCCATTTACCTGCAACATTGACATTATTTTTATACCTTTATTTATTTATTTTCTGTGGTGCTGAGGATCGAACCCAGTGCCTCACACGTGCTAGGCGAGTGCTCTGCCACTGAGCTACAGCCCCAGTCTCGACACTGACATTTTGAACAGTGTGGGCTGGCTGTTTTGTAACTCATCGCTTACTTTGGGCTTGTCTGATATTTCCCCATTTTAAAATCTAGGTTATATAAAGCAATTTTTAAAATATCACCTTCCTGTTCTACCTCACTTCCAACGTTTTGCTTAGTTGAGCTCAGACTGGTTGGTAACTGGGTCACTAGTGTCAGGCACAGTCTAACCCGTAGAGAAGACAGAAGCCTTAGGCAAATAAAAAACAAAGGCAAAGAGATGTGACTTCTGAGCATTTGTCTGTCTTGACAAACCAAAAGACCTCATGCACCCAGCCAGAAACTTTCCTCCAGCTGACAGGGGGAGCTGGGGAAGGTGAACATCCTGCCAAAATATGCAGGTGGATACAAGGTTTAAATCAGGGACTGTAAGTTAATTCCCAGGCTTATAGAAAAATCGAATAATCAGTCATTTCCAACCAACTGGGAAAGGTTTATTGGCAAATAGGATTGAGTTGGAACAGCCAATTTTCTTTTTTTGGGGGAAAAAAGTAATTACATTATTTCATAGGCTATATTAAATTTGCAGATGGATAATAGAATTAACTACGAAAGAATAAACCAAACATACTAGTTAAGTATATGGACAGTGAATTATACTAGTAGGTACTAGTGTACATGTATAAATAAATTATTTTCTGGAAGGATATTTAGAAACTGCTAAGTAATTCCCTTTGGGAAGAGGGTGTTTGATGGGTAATTAAAATCTTAGTTCTTATTTTCCACTTTCTCATACTGTTTGAATTTTTCTTTTTTAACCTGTGTCTATATACCTACACAGGTGAATAGGCCATTCTTGGCTTCTTCTGTTGGGGTTTAGAAAATGGTACCCCCAAACTACGCCATTTTGGACTTAAAAGTTAAGGGACCTGGGGACCAATGACACAGGGAAGGGCTTCCCTATAATTCCCTCATCTATCCAAAGACAGGATCTGCCAAAGAGGAACACAGTTGCTTTCAAATCTCTTTACTGAAATGCCATTAACCACGGAAGATTAAGTTTATATCACAGAGGAGGAGACAGAAAATCAAACTCTACACCCACAGCCCAGGGGAACTTTATCCCAGACCTCTGTTGGTTCTCTGGGCTCAGTCTCTCCCCTAAAAATCACCTACTCCCTCTCTAAAATTGGCACACCACCCCCTCCCCCTTCAAAGAGGGTATTTAAGCCTCAACCATCTGGCCCTTCTTTTGAGTTTTATATTTTGTATGTGCTGTTCAATGCATCCACACCCTTTTTCTTATGTTAATTTATTGCCAGTATGTTTCAGCAGACTAGATTAGCAAACCTTCAGAGGGCAAGTTTCAATTTCCCTATACTTCTTCATCTGTTCAGCTACCTCTGCTCTTCAAAAAATGTTGCTCAAAAAACTTTTAAATATCCAAATATGAAATTGTTGATGAAATATGATGTAGCTATGAAGATGTATATTAACAGGCTTTAAAAACTGTATATTAAGTGAATAAAACAATTATAAAACAGTATATGACTTAACAATAAACATAATAAATAGTTTGCATGAATAGAAAAAATAGAAGTATAATTTTCATATACCAAATGAAAGTTAAATAAAATAAAGAATGGTTTTCTTTCGATTATCTCTATTTTTCCCAATGATACAGTGAAGTACCTATATTTTAAAAAATAAAGGTGCCCGGAGGCAGTGGTGCACGCCTATAATATCAGCAGCTCGGGAGGCTGAGGCAGGAGGATCAAGAGTTCAAAGCCAGCCTCAGAAAAATCAAGGTGCTAAGCAACTCAGTGAGACCCTATCTCTAAATAAAATACAAAATAGGGCTGGGGATGTGGCTCAGTGGTCGAGTGCCCCTGAGTTCAATCCCTAGTACTCCCACCATCCCCACCAAAAAATAAAAGGGAAAATGCCATGAAACTTTAATTGCCCTACCCATGAACACATGTGAGAATCTAAAGCTACACATTCCCAACGCCCCATCTCATTCAAAAGAGCCCAGCCTCTCTCTCACAGGCTTCCTTTTCTCATGAATCACATTACTAGTGCATCTGACAAGGGTAGAAGCAAGTTCTGTGGTGGCAGATAAAACTTGAACCTTTATAAGCTTCTAAAAATACAATAATATTACTGTTCCAACAATGCATCCTTTAATATGGCCCACAGGCACGTGAGAACCCCCAAAGCCCTCTCTAAAGGAAATGAGAACTTTCACACCAGAGTGTGAATAATAATGTCTCCACTTCCTAATGTGTAAGAATAGAAAAAGCTCACTATTTCAGGACATAGGAGACCCAAATTTGTGCCTGGGTTCTATAGTAGCGTGTGACCTTGGGGAAGGTTAACTTATTCTCTGAGACTTGGCTTATTCACCTGGAAATGAGGACCATTCCCAATTTGTCATTGTTGTTATTCTTACTGGAATCAGCAAGGACCCAGATACTAGCATTTGTGGGCAAAGAAACAACTGGGTTTCAAAGGCCCAAGAGATCTCCACCATGATGGTAGCTACCTGTTTCTTGGTACCAACAATCTTGTATTTCTGCGTCTAAACTTTGGGGTCACATGGCCTGACATACATTCTGGAAGTTGTTGAAAGACTTCAGTTCTACAGAATGTCTTCCTTCCATAAAACCTCCTCCACTGAATGTCCAGCATAGGGATAAAGAGGGGCAGAGAAGAGTCCACTATAGAAAACACCAGAAACGGAAATGGACATGCTCAAGCACCAAATGCCTGGCTCCTGGGGCCCTTCCTTGGGCAGCCCTTACCAATGGTGGTCTCACAGAACTTCTCCGCAGCCACCTCGCTGGCAATGTTGGCGCCCATCAGCACACTGATGTCAATGCCCATCTTCTCCCGGATGATGTCAGAAATGAGTTTCAGTCCCTCGGGTCCCTCGTCTATGCCCTACGAGGATGTCCAGAAGTTAGTAGGGGAACCACCAAATCAAAGAGGCTTGAGTCATTGCTTTATAAGTCATCTAGATTCAGATTACCAATGGTATGCATGACTTGAAAAATCTCTCTTAATTACAAGAGAAAATGTACAGACTGCATATGTATTGCTTAAAGAATAGTAAGCTGAAGGGAGTAACACAAACCTGTCTCCACCACTCAGGTTAAGAAATAGAACATGATCGACTCCCAGCACCACAAAAAAAAAAAAAAAAAAAAAAAAAGAAACAAAGAAAGAATAGAATAGAACATGACCAAAAATCGTGTCTCTGCCTTCACCCTCCCCTCCCCTAGACTGAACCACCACCCTGATGCTGTAGGCACTGCTCTTGCTTCTCCTCATCACTTTGTCACACATAACTGCCCTAAGCAATTTTATGCCCTTATGCCTCCTTTCGAAAGCCTATAAATGGAATTGCACCGTTCACCTGGGATATGCTGTTTAGTGCTACATTCTTATTTTAGAGATTTACCCAGGTGTCTACATGAAGGTTCTGGTTCACTTCTGTTCACTGCGACATAGTATTCCAATAGTTCCAATTGTGAATAGTTCACAATTCATTTATCCACTCTATTGCTGATTGACATGTGGGCTACTTCAGTTTACTTTCAGAAACATTCACCTATGGACATTCTGGTACAGTCACTTTAGGGAGTTCATGACTTTTTTTAATGTCCTGGACTCCACCTCTAGTGGTGTGGTGAAATTTACAAACTCATCTTTAAAATTTCCCATGCATAAAAACAAAATATATAAGATTACCTAGGGAGCCAATTATATTAAGATAGTTATCAAAATTTTTTTTGTGAAACTCCAAATTTGTGATCAAGTAATATATGCACTGTTTTATGACCATACTTAGAAAAAGATGTCAGGACAGATCTAATAATTATTATTATAATTTCCAAGAAGCAACAAGCATAAATAACATCTTGAGATTTGAAACTGTTGTAAAGTGATGTGAAAATCCCTTCAACAGACAACAGGGTCATAGGTCCTGCGAATATATTGTTATTGAAACACTGGCTGTGTTTCTAAATGTCCATTTCAGTTAGAGGTTAAAGTGAATAAAAATATAAGGTTTTCTTTCTACCATTAAATGCATGAAGCTCTGAGGGTGGTTTGAGAACTTCTGATTAAAAAAAAACAAAAAAACAAAACCTTCTTTAAGACATATACCCAGGAATGGTATTTCCCATTCAATTCAATTTCCCAGCTAATGCAAAGTGATGACTCCCAGATGTAGGCTGAGCTACAGAGTGGGCTACAGGTTGACAGTAGGGCTCATCAGGGCAGCCATCCTCATGTCACTCTGCTGCTCACCTGCTACCATAGAAAAGCAGCCTTGCACTTGAAGTTGGCCTAAACTAGGCTTCCTAGGTATGCTTTATTTTTTAAAATCACCTTTTAGGCATCTTTTAAAATGCAAACAAAAAAACTAAAAACTGCCACCACCCTCCCTCCATCTCAAGCACATCAAAGAGGGAAAGGGATCTCCCGGGAACCAATGTCTAGCCGCGAGTTTCCTGCCCGGTGTGCTCACCAGTTACCTTGATGAGGGTGATCCCCAGTGCTTTCTTGGGTACTCTGCCAGTGATCTCATCGCAGATTTTGTGAATGAACTGGTGGGGGATGACAAACACCAGCAGGTCTGCATCATGCACAGCCTCGCTGAGATTGGAGACGGCGACCTGCAGCCATCAGGAGGAACGGTTACTCCTCTGCCTACCCAGGAAGATTTCTTTCCCTATTTCTTTAGCAGATATGGAGGACTGAGACATTGCCTTTCTTTCTAGGAAAAGTGCCCCTAAATTTCCTTTTAAAAGCTGCTTGTTACATTTTATTTATTTATTTTTTTGGTATTGGGGATTGTATTCATGGATTGTATTCACCAAACTACACCCCCAGCCCTCTTTTTATTTTTTGAGACTAGGTCTTGCAAAGTTTCCCAGGCTGGCTTTGAACTTGTGATCCTCCTGCCTCAGCCTCCCGAATCACTGGGATTACAGGCATTTGCCTGGCTGCTGCTTATATTTTAATGTGAAAGTTTGGTAAATTTGGCCCCTCCCTCACTCCAGGGAGGGTCCTAATTCGTGGTCAAGCCAATCAAACAGAGGCAACAAGAAGCCAGCAGATGCTTGCTGGGGCAGGGGGGAAGAGCTGCTTCCTTCCTCTTCTGAGCTGGCTAAGGGTCTTTTGCTGGAACAGTGTTGGATGCTGGTGTGAAGACTGGAATGAATGCAATCATTTTAGAAATAGGAGAACCCAGGCCAAGAGGCTCCCGGGGGATGAAGGCAACTCTGTGGAAGGCAGAGGAGAAAACAGGGCCTCGCTGGTATTTTTTAAGCCAATGCACCTGAAACCAGCTCTACTTGGATTTTTTTAGTTGCAAGAACCCAAACATTCTGTCTTAGCTCAAACTGGTTTGAACAGCAACATAAAGGATCATTGCCCACAGAGCTCATTACAGCCCAAGGCTTAGCACTTTAAGCTTTCCTGGCTTGCTCACAGGCAGGGAAGGCCTTTCTTCTTCAAAGGCGTTGTCCAGACTAGTAATTTAGGCTGGGCAGCCACAAGTGACCAGGATTGATTACCAATGCTGGGGTTCAGAAAATGATCCCCACCAGGTGAAGGTCTTAGAAGCAGCCTCAAAAGCAAAGTTTTTCCCTGATCTTTTCCTTTCCTCTTATATCTCACCCTTCATCTCACCACCCATCCCCAGGCAAGCCAAGAAAACTAGAATTTCTTTTCACCCAGATTATCTAGTGTGGACAGGTACTCCAGGAGACTGAGGCTAGAGGAGGATCTCTGGAGCCCAGGAGTTCAGAGTCAGCCTGGGCAATATGGTGAGACCCTGTCTCTTTAAAACAAAACAAAACAACAACAACAAACCTCTTCCCCAAAGCCAGTCAAAGAAACCAGAATCCCTTTTCCCCAAAGTCATTCATAAGACCTTAAAAAATACTACTCTAGCTCCCCGCTCCTTGCTGGACAGGAAGAAATTCTTTGACTTACCTTATGACAGTAGGTCATAAGACCCCATACCAGAAAGGAAGGAATGCTACACAGAGGCCAAGAAGAATTGGAATAGACAGATCTGGCTGGATCTCATGCTCTCCCATTATTAGACTGCACCCCCCCTTTTTTGGCCCAATCTTCCCCACCACCCAGGACTGGAGAACAAACCCAGGGGCACTCAACCACTTTTATTTTGAGGCAGGGTTTTGCTAAGTTGACCAGGCTGGCCTTAAATTTGTGATCCTCCTGCCTCAGCCTCCTAGTAGCTAGGATTACAGGTGTGCACCCTGGTACCCAGCTCCTATCATATGGACATGACTGTCCATGCTTTACTAAACTTAAGATTGAGAATGCATAGTTTACCCATGGCACTTCTGGTCTTCAATCTGAAAGGTCTGTGTCATATAAAATGATACAGAATAAATTTGTTACACTTTTCTCTTGTTAGCCTATCTAATGTTAAAGAGGTTTCAGCCATGACTCTCCATGGTGAGCAGGAAAAGTGTCACCTCTCTTCCTGTCCCTATGGCAGCAATCCATCTGCTTTTATCAGTTCCTTTGGACCTGGAGTTTCAACTCCTACCACAAAGTCCTCAAAGGCAAAGCTCATGCCCTTGCCTGTACCCCTCCACAGCCTCTGCCATGAGTCTGATTCCTCATCTCCCCTTGAGTTACTACCCTTGGTTAGGTGGAGGTTTATGCTCCCTACTCTTGCTTCTCATATGGAACCACCTGATGGTCTGAATTTTAATTAAACATTCCTACTTCTCTGGACCTACTGTTTCTTTAACTTCCCATCCTCCTCTAACACACACACAATCCTCCCTTTCCTCCTTTTAGGGGTATTTTCAACATGACAAATGGGAAAGCCCCCATCAAAGAGAAAGGAGGTAGGTTAGAAGTTCTGAGTCACATTCCTGCAATCGACCAGCTGTGTAACCTCTGGCAATAACTTAGCTCCACTGACCTTGCTTACTTCCTATGTAAAATAGGGATAGGAATTCCCTTTGCCACCTACTGCCAGCTATTTCAAAATAGGTTATATAAATGACAGTGTCTTAAAACTACAAAGACCTGAACTAACAAAGGGGATCCTTTAGGCTGGGCATGGTGGTGCACACCTGCAATCCCAGCAGCTTGGGAGGCTAAGGCAGTGGGATTGCAAGTTCAAGGCCAGCCTCAGCATCTTAGTGAGACCCTGTCTCAAAATAAAAAAATTTTAAAAAGAGCTGGAGAGGTGGCTCAGTAGTAGAGTGCCTCTGGGTTCAATCCCTAGTACTACAAAAAAGAAAGAAAGAGAGAAAGAGAGAGAGATATCATTGATCAGAAAAAATGTGCTTGCCTCCTATAAATCTGCAACTTTTAAGAACTCGGCCTGTTCCCATACCCCTTGTTCAAAATTTTTCTCAAGGAAGCTGCCGGCGATCAGGATTTCCTCCTCTTTTATTTCCCTCTTAAATAAATCAAATATGAACCTACAGGAGGAAGAACCTTCAGGACAATACAATTGGGGCTCAGCAGCATGTGAAAATGTCCTTCTGTTCCCCTTGGTGGGACACTTGGGGTTGAACCTACAGAAGCCATAAGCAACGCAACACAAGCTGCGTTTGTGTGGCCTGCCCAGCACACTCACACAACACTATTGTTCTCCTCACAGCCTCACAACCAGCGCTCTTCAGCTAAAAAAGTAGTTTGAATCTCATCTTTCAGAATAAAATCTTTTACTAAGCCTGCCTCCTGCTTCCTGCTCTGAACATCCTCAAGCTGCTGCTTTAGAAAAGTGACTGAGTTTATGAGCCTCCTGCCAAAAATTTTTCTAAGGAGGTCCATTGTTAAAGACCCTGAAATGTATTTGGAGAGACAACCCAGAACCACAGAGCTTGCCTGTCAGTGGCAAGCAGGACAAATACATCAGAACAAAGGCATCAGAGCTGGTTGTTTAACGCCCGGATTTTCAGGAGTCCGGTGCTCTCCATACAGGTTATTAAAAACACAACTATGGGGCTGAGGCTGGGGCTCAGTGGTAGAGCGCTTGCCTTGCATGTATGAGGCACTGGGTTTGATCCTCAGCATCACATAAAAATAAAGAAAGATATTGTGTGTCCATCTACAACTAGAAAGATATATTTAAAAAAACTATGAACAAAAATCACCGAAAACAAACTGGGCACAGTGGTACACACCTATAATCCCAACACTTGGGAGGCTGATGCAGGAGGATCATGAGTTCAAGGGCAGCCTCAACAACTAAGCCAAGTCCTAAGCAACTTTGTAAGACCCTGCCTCAAAATAAAAAGGGCTGGGGGAATGTAGCTCAGTGGTAAAGCAACCCTGAGTTCAATCCTGGGTATCAAAAAAGAAAAAAAAAAAAGGGTTGGGTGTAATAAAATGCCCTTTGGTTCAATCTCTGTTTTCCATTATTATTTTTTTTTTAAAAAACAAACTGATAAAGTCTGTGCAGACAAGTCTGACATTTCTTTTATATCCTTTGGAGGAGTTGCACTGTGCATTGTGTGCTCAATAAGCTCCTACGCATTGTCAACATGTTATGTGCAGCTACCAGAGCCATACCCGCTTCTTATCCTAGCAGATGAACTTTCTGACCCTCCCTTGATGCTATTTTATGGACTTTAAAGCTAACTGAGATTAAAAGCCTCTCCATTCATTTATAACTATAAACAGATACACTGGATCAAATTTGGGGGGGGCGTGGAGGAGTATATGTAGGAAAATAAGAACTATTTGCAATCCCAGAAACTAGAAATAATAACCATCAATATTTTGGTACATTTCTGACCAGGGCTTTCTGAACCTATGGAAATATCTGACAATGGTTGGGTGCCATGGCACACCCTGTAATCCCAGCGGCTCCAGAGGCTAAGACAGGAGGATCGCAAGTTCAAAGCCAGCCTCCGTAATGGTGAGGTGTTAAGTAATTTATTGAGACTCTGTCTCTAAATAAAATACAAAAAAGGGCTGAGATGTGGCTCAGTGGTTAAGTGCCCCTGAGCGCAATCCCCAGTCGTCCCCTCCCCCAACCAAAGAAAGAAAGAAATATCTGAAAATGTAGAAGTGAAGTGATAGCCTTACATATTTTTAAATATAGTATTATAAGATTTCTGCTATCATTCAAATGAACATTTTTCCCCCAAATCCATGAACCTTCTCATATCAGTATGATCATAATGATAATAATGATAATCCAAAGAAGAGATACCAACACTGTCATCATTTTTATCTGATCTCTTAGAACCATTAAAATTATTTCGAGCTCAAGTATGTATGAATCTACCTGCAGACACAGTTTTGATAACTAACAAAAGTGATACAGTTAAGATAGTCTGACTGCTGTGGACTAGGTGGCCTGGATCTGTCACCAGTTTGCTGACTGGACACAAGAACAAACTCACCCACATCCTCTGGGAAACAGGTATTCAGATTAAACACAGTACTGTGAGTCAAACATAGCAGAGTAGTGCCTGGGGCATGGCGGAGGCTCAAAATACTGTCATTTCCTTCTGTTCTCCTAACCTCACTTTCAGCTAGACCTCAGGTAAAATTCATGTCCTCAGCTCTACATGCAGAAAATTGATTCTTGGGCACAGGCAACTCCATCTGATGATTTTTATAAAAATATGCCACTGTTGGTAAGTGAGGCTGGTTCTGGAAAAAC